TTGGATGCTGTTCTGTGCAGATAAAAAAAAATGAGCAAAAACAGCAGCACAAGGCTGAAATGATTATGGTGATCTCTGGTGCAGTAGCAGCAGTCATTGATCTTGACCATGCTGGAATGATTCTGAAAGAAGTGAAAATAGCCAGACTGCTGCAAGTAGTTTGTAGTAATTCAAGTGAATCAATACCATCGACAACTTCAGAAATGTACAGCCAAAATACACAAATGGTTTAGGTATCCCAAGGGCCCTGGCATCTGGATCAGAGTTCCCTTATTGTTTTCATAGTATGTTGAAACTGTTTATTCACATCACTGATACATCTGCTTTTCTTTTTAGAGATATCACGTTGCGGTATAAGGAGATAAGGCGACAGAAGCAAGAGCACAAGTATGAAAAGGACAAATGCTTGAGCAATGGGGATGGACATTCTTCAATACTGGATGAACAGAATGGGAGCAAACTAAGGGAAAGGAGACTTTGAGCAGTGGTCAAAGGGCTGAAAAGAACTCATAGTGCTCAGGTTGGCCTGGTGGACAGTTTCAACCTTATCCTACCTAACTTGTAATTTTCACTGTTAGTTTTCCAAGGTGTGAAAATTGTTTTGAGGAGATGATGTCCCTTTGACATGCACACCCTTTCTAGTCACGTACACCTAGTCAGAGTCAGAGAAAGTCTGTGTAGAGGGAAGTCAGAACCAACGCCGCTGCAACGAGGTGGGATCTTCATCCAAGTGTGTTGCATGCCTTCCTTGCAAAACAAGTTCTGGAGACAAGGGGCTTTAAAACAAAGCGCAGAGGGAATCTGGCCGATCTATTTTCAGTTAACTGTGAGATTTCTATTTTGACATTTGGGCATTAGGAGCGCATGGCACAGGAAATCAAATCTGTCCTCTGCTGAACCACCTTGAGGTGTGGAGTCAGGTTATATAATATGTTCAGCCACCCGTTGACAGAAATGCAGTGAGATAAACTGAAGCATGTGAACAAGTTGCGTTACTTGCACAAGATGTAATGCAGTACACTACTGTTACAGCCCCTCTGGTGTGGGGGTTATTGCCTTTCTCTAAACTGACTTTCAACGTCCTGGAATAGCTTACAATAATTTTATGTTTTATCACAGCTCTAGGGAGACAGAAGGCTTCTCCTTAGGCTTTTCTGTTTGCTTTTTTTTTAATCCTGGTCATCTCTTAAAGGTAAGGGAAGTTTAAATAAGAAAGGTCAGCCTGCCTTCTGTTTGCTTCATGGAGTAAAATCTATTATTAACAGAAAAATGGGAGTTACTCCATCAGTCTTAAGTTATTTGCCTTATTCTCAGCTCTTTTACGTTGCTTGCCAAGAGGATTTCATTCTTGGTGTCTGCTGTGCAAAGCATGTCCTGATCTGCCATCCTTCACAGCTGTCCCGTTCCTCCTAAGGTAACTCTGGAGTAGCAATCTCCTGAGTCCAACTGGAAAAGACATTCTCTGCAGTCCTGCACAAAACAGCTGTTACCGTGCTGCCATTGCTGCCAAAAGACCAAATTGAGGGGAGCTGCATCCAGTCTTCCCTGAGCAGCACGTAGCAGTGGAGATCTGCAGGCCAAACTAGACAGCGTTTTGGCTCGTGACTCAGCATCTAGGAAAAGAAATTAGAAGCTTGGGCTGAGTTTTTTTCAGGGTTGTTATTCCAAAATGTAAGTGCTGCAACTGGGCATCAGTTTTGTAACCCATGCTCTAAGCCTTTGCATTGGCCTCTAAGGCACTGATGTAACCGTATCTCTGTTAAAGTACAGTGATCTAATCTGGCTGTTGGAAGATGTTTTTCAGGGACGTGTTTATCCTGAAGGAAATGATACAACACCAGTAACACTTAACAAGGATAGCCCCCAAAATTCTAAGTGGCAGGAGACTTGAGATGCTGCTGGATAGTAAACATCCACATTTCAAATCCTTTTTGGTTGCGCATGGAGAGCCACCAAAATAAATCTGCCATTTCTCTTAGGTTTACGGAGTGACCTACATGTTTTCTGACCCTGAAGAACGGACACTTAGCAATAGGGCAATCTTCAATGAACAGAACAGTTTGGTTGCATGTGAAGAGCTCAACAAATGAAGGAGATTTGATGGGCCCTTTAATGGGCCTTGGGCTGCCCCAGTTGCTTAGCAGACAGAGAGGAGGATGACTGTTTTGAGAACGAAGCATCCAGCTTTGTTCTTGAGAACGTACAGTTCACTGTGGCTGCTCTTAAACCATGGTATTTTGCTGCTGTGAGGTAGTGAAGAAGGCTGTGTAACTGGGTGCTGACAAATGTATAAATGGGCAGAGAGTGCTGAGTTGAGTAAGTATTTATTTGTATGCTGTTTCAGCCCAAGTCATTCTCATTTCTGGCTTTCCACCGTTCTTATGAACTGTTAACTGATGATTGGTAGCTCGTACCAGTGTGTTGTGCTTGTGTAGTCCCAGGCTCAGGTCAGTATATTCCTGTTCCTTCTCTGCTGATAAACACTGTGGTCCCCCTCTGTCTCTTTGCAGTATGTCCATCAGAGTCTGTTTTGTGAGTTGGGTGGTAACAGGCACACTGAGGAGGATCTGTCGCTGTACCTTCCTCCTCCTCCCCACCCTGCCAAAGACACACTGAGGTGCTTCACAAACAGCTGCTGAAGAAGCCCTGTTCCCCAGTAACAGTTCTGGAGCTTTGAATTAATACATAAAACAGTGACTGTTTACTTCCATTTTATCAGCTTTTATGGTTAGTCTGGATAACTGAACCAGTGTAATAAAGCAATGTTTGCTGGTGTTGTTTTGGTACAATGTGTGTGTGCTGCTGCTTCATCTCGCTTGTCACTTCGCAGGGACCAAGGGCACTTGGTCTGAATTCCCTTTGGTACGAAAACTATCAAAGGTTTCGGTGCCTTAAGGTAATTACCTTGTCCAGATGCTCAGAGAGATGGATGTTAGAAACCTTCCGTCCACGCTTGTGATTCGGGAATGCTTATTGCAGTGCTTTCACAAGGATGGTCAGCAGTGCCTCGTTCAGAGCACACCTCGTGTGTGTTGCAGGTAGTAGTGGCAGCCTGGCTCCTTGCTGATGATGGCACGATGCTCCATCAAACAGTCACAGAGCTGCTGGAAGGTCTCTGGGCATATTCAGCACGGCACATCCATACGTATGAGGCAATGGGGTGTCCTTGCTTGCGAAGCACTGAGTCTCGTCTACATGTTCTTGGCAGCAGCAGCAGCACCTGGACAGGTACTCCTTATGTATTTGTTAAGCCGGATGCAGTCTGCGGCAGTGGGCCGTGCTCCCCTGCGCGTGTGTGCTAGGTGATGGAGCAGCAGTGATGCTGTTCCTGCAGGGAAGTAAGCCAAGGGAGGATGCAGCATCTGTTGGTGTTCTTCAGTGCTCCCTGTGCTGCTGAGACACTTGAGTCAGATTCTGGCTTCTGACTGCTACCTGAATCACCCACGTGTTCACAGTTAAAGGCTTTATCAGTTGGTGTCACTGATGTGCTAATTAGTTTATCCTAAGGCTTGAGCAAAGCACGTAAGTGATAATATACTGCCATCTGCTAGCAACGTGAAGCTGATGTTTCGCAGGCTACCTGGCAGCTATGTGAAGCCAGATCCATCTTCAGATACCAAACGCAAGTCATCAGAGGTGACCAAAATTCAGCCAGACTGATTGGGGTTGAAAGCAACGTTCTAGGGGTCAGCAAAGGATGAGACCCCAGCAGAGGGTGCTGGTGGCCTGGCCTGCCAGAATTAATGCTCTGTTGCGGTTTTAGGAGCTAGGGGAGGAAGCCAGCGCTCCTTGGGGCTGTGTATAGCAGGAGGAAGGGCTGCATTTGGTTGGATGAGCGCAGAGGCTTTCAGCAGTGAGGTGAAGCTCCTTTCCCGCTCACAGCATTTTGGGGTGACAGTCAGAACTTGGTCTGTTTTTTTTTTAATTTCCAATCATGGGAGCCTTTTAAGAAAGGTCACTGGTCCCCGGGAAGGAATTATCTGGTGGGAAATGGGTGGTGAGTTTCCCAGGAACCGAGGGTTTTTTGAAGCACCACACTGCTCCCTGTGCCAGCTGAGATGTTGCCCGGCTTTTCCTTCCTCCCCAAATTGCATGCATAGTGTTGTTCATCTTTCTCCCCATTCCAGCAAAGAGAATCTCTGTGTTTAAAATACTTCTCGCTTTGGAGCTAAGGTGAGGCAAGGAAAGCTCTCTCCGTCCCCGCTGTATAGAATCAGGTGTAGGAGAGCTTTGGCTGATGCCCGGCTGGTGTTTGCCACAACGCGCAGCACCTACCAGCGAGCGGAGCTCTGAGTCTTCACTGCTGGGAGGGCTTTTGGGGACAAATCCCAGTAAAGCGTCGCTTGATGCTTTGGGATGAGGGAGAGGAGGGCTGGTGGGTTTTATTTCCGACCCCAAACGAGCCGAGGGAGGGGGAGGAGGACGGAGGTGGTTTCTCTCCCGCAGTGCCGGGGAGGGACGAGCATCCTGGAAGCCTGCATTAAGGGCAGGCGGGGATCCAAGTATTCGGCTCCCGGGTACCGATTTCAGTCCGCGGCCCCTAAAAAGGTGGAGAGCGTCCCTTTGGGAGAGGTGGGAGGAGGGAACGCGGGTCCTGAAGCGGGGGAACATCCTGCGGGTTGCGGGGGAACAGAGCTGAAAGATGCTGGAGGTGGGAGAAGATGCGGGACTCCGGGGCTGAGGGCCGGAGCCGGGGATGATCCCAACCCGAGGAAGGGGCGGGGGGAACAGCAGCCGGTCCCGATGCGGGGCCGGAGGCTGCAGGGGGCGGGCGGCGGGCGGGGCCGAACCCCCCCAGGTGCAGTCGGGCCGCCCCGCCCGCAGTCCCCGCTCCGGCTGCCCCGACCGCCATCACCATCACTCGCTCGGCTGGAAAATGAGCTTTTTCTCCTCAAAGCAGTGGTGAGTGAGTCCCAGTTCTCGGGATGGCGGCAGGGGGAAGAAAGAAAGGGAAGGGAGGGGGGAGGGGGCTTGGGAGGTCGTGTCCGCGGCATCCCCACGCAGGGGATGCGCGCTGCCGGGGTTTGCCCGCAGCGGCGCCCTCTGTGATTTTGGGCTGTGTTTCGGTTCCCCTTCCCGAGCTCCTCGCCATCCTTCCGCCGCCCAGTAGCATCCCCGCGGCGGGGAAACCTGGATCCCGCTCTGCCGGGAGGACATCGGGAGATGCTCCCCTTGTGGGCCGCGGTGCTGAGACTGCCCGGCTCATCGCACCTGTGAGCGGGCACCGAGGTGCAAAACTCAGCATCACTTAGCAGATTTCCAACGTAGAACCGCGGAGCTGCGAACCCACAGCGGGGTGTACCGTACAGGTATTGCCCATAGAGCCCCACATCTTCAAAGGGCGTAAAATGGGGGCAGCCGGGGGGCTCTGCAGCAGTAACGTCGGGAGTCTGGGGCTGAGCGCGGCTGAGGGATGGAGCCCAAAGCCCGGCGTTACGTTTGGGATTTATTTTTACTCGTAGTTTTGTTACCAACCAACCCACCGGCAAACTTGATCCTACTTTTCCTCCTGGCGTACTGAGGGTGAGATGGGGCTTTGTTCCTCTGGTAGGAGGGAACGGTGAGGGATGGAGGAGGATGGGGTGTGGGGACTAGCCGGGCGCGGTGCTGAAGGAGAGGGCAGCCAGGGCTCAGCCCGCCCCTCGGTCCACAGCTGATGACTTTGGGGGAATGCAGCTTCCTCAGGAGGGGGTCTATAACGCCTCCTGGGTTTACTCGGGGTGCACGTAGGGTTTTGTGCAAGCAGCTTCTGGCTTCGGGTGGTCACAGAGGCACAAAAAGTGTTGCCCCTCCAATGTGGGGGAGATACTCCCATCCCTCAGAGGACAACACACTGCCATGTCTTTCCTTGCCTCGTCACCACAAGCAGCTGTCCCGTGCCCACTGTGGCTCCCAAAGGTGCCAGCAGCCTGATAAGGTGCTGGGATAGCATATAAGGCTGAACTCCTGAGCTCTCCTTGTTCCTTCTCTTCTGTGCCCAGGAGGGGCTGATGGGGAAATCCCATTCAATCTGACCTGGTGGCTCTGAGAGATGCCTCAAAAGCTGCCCATCAGCCCTTCAGGAAATGGTATCTGGGGAGAAATGCTTCGGAAGTAACTGGAGTATTTTTAAAAGAGGTGCTTGCCCTGTGGTGGAGCAGCTCATTCCCGGAAACTCATTCCTTGATTTTCCTATTTAAAAAAAAGCAAGCAAGCACTGAAAGGAATGAAACTTCTTAGGTAAGATGGTTATCCAGCAGGTAGAAAAAAGCAGGTTGGGGTAAGTCCCTGTGAGGCTGCAGTGTTCTTGGCTTAGCCCACATGTGACACGAACTGAGCCCGTTCTCAGCCCAATCCTTGGTGCTGTCCTGGAGTCCGGGCTGAACAGATTCCATACGTTCATCTTTGTCCTTTTCTCCTACTTTGTCTTCTGTGTGCTCAGTAGGCTGTCCTGCTAGTGGGGAGGGTCTGCCATGGACGGCGGGCACATGGGCAGATACCGGCTGAGCGGTGAGTATGGCTGTGAGCTGCAGAGCTGGGGAGGGCTGTGTGTGTGTTTGAGCATGGAGTTTAATTTCCTGACATCAGTCTTTAAATCCCAAACTTTCCAATATTGAGCACTCTACCCTAAAAGGTGGTCGGATACAAATTGCAGCACACTGGGCTTCACACCTGGAGTTGTCCAGAAACAAGAGTTGGACGGGGTTCTTTGGTCACAGTTTGGGTACAGGCGGCTGTTCCCTTCTGGCTCAGCTTTTCTGTTGAAGTGGCTCTGGGGGGCAAAGCTGCAATGGCATGTAGATGCTGCCCGGCTCTGTCTGGCCCCAAGGCAGGAGCACCACGGCATGACACAGGAGGCAGTGCTGTGGAGTCCCCGGCAGCTCTGTCATCACAAATCTCCTTTTTTTCTTTCGTTTTCTTTCCCCTCCTCCTTTCCTTCTCGTTAAGCCGAGCCGTGTGGCTTTAATCGCTCGGGTGATGGAGGCTGCTGCAATGCAGCAACAGCTGCTCGTGGGGCTGCCACGTCCTGCTTTGCAGTCTTGAGCTGGGCTTTTTCCCCTCTGTATCGTCCCCTCGGAACTTGCTTTTTTTTTTGTTTCTTTCTCCCCTGCCCTCCCCCCGTTTCCAAAAGCATTTCCCCCCTCTTTTTCCTATTTGTGGCTCTTCTGATCATCCCAGGAGGCAGTCAGGTTTCCCCTACGGCACCAATTGGAATGCTGAGTATGTCTGAGAGGGATGGATCTGCACCCTGGGGATGGTGCAGTGAGTTCCGGTGCCGTGGGGAGCTGAGCTGGCACATGCTCACCTCACCTCCTGGGGCTAAAATCTCAGATTTTGTGCTTGCGATTTGCTGCTAAGCACCATTCATAACGCGCCGATGGGGGCAGCAGTGATTGATTCCCAGCTAATTCTGCGGGGCGAGCTCCCGGCTGGGATACAACGTGGCCAAGCTCCCTTCCTTGGGACTTCTGACACTGTCCCTGTCCCCTTGCAGCCACCGCCAGCCCCCCACGCTGGGAGATCGGCATCTACGCGGCAGGAGCGCTGTCGCTGCTGGGCATCGCAGCTGTCAACCTGTGGAAGCTCTGGCGTTCCGGCAGCTACCCTGCGCCTTCCCCGTTCCCAAACTATGACTACCGCTACCTGGAGCAGAAGTATGGGGCGGCGTATTCAGACATCAAGCACAAGGTAAACCATAAAAAGAATGCAGGTGGAAAGTTGGGCTTGACTCCTTTCCTCTTGAGATACACGCATTGGGGCAAAGTAGGGCTTGCAGTGGGGGAATGGTTTAAGTGGGCATGATGGTCACGGGCTTATGATTGGGCTTGCTGGTCTTAGAGGTCTTTTCCAAACTTAATGATTCTGTGATGCCATTTGGGGACATAAAAATAATAATGATAATGTAATTATGATTTGATGGTTGGACTAGACAATCATAATGGTCTTTCAAAACCTTTAGGATTCTGTAGTTGTGTGAAAAGCTATTATGTACCCCAAAGTGCCTTGGAGCATCTTGGCTGTCCTCTTGTATGCAGAGGGAGTGAACTCACTGCCTGCTTCTTCCTCCTGGCAGCGTGGGGCAGCGCTGGGCTCAAAGCCGTTGCCCAGCTGCAAAGCCAGCCTGAGAGGCACCAACACCTGCGAGAGCATCAATGAGCTGGGCAGCCTGGAGCTGATGAGCAGGGACCTAGGTCTGGCCCCCTACGGCCCCCTGAAGAAATCCGTCTCAGCTGACTCGCTCAACTCCGTCTCATCCATCGGGAACAACTTTGGGCAGGATTTCACCGTGGGGCAGGTGGAGGTGTCCATGGAATACGACGGGAAGGCAGCCGCCCTGCACGTCACCCTACTGCAGGGCAAGGATCTGCTGGAGAAGGAGGATGCCCGCTTTGAATCTTGCTTCATGCGCATCAGCCTGCTGCCAGCCGAGCAGATTGTTGGCATCTCCCGGGTGAGCCCCTCGGGCTTTTCGTGGAATCCCTGAGTGGTTGCTTTGGTTTTGGATTGCTTTCCCTCTCTGCATGAGATGGGCGGCCAAAAAATTTTGCAGGATTGGGTAAAAAGGCAATGGGATGACCTTAGTATTCTCTTCTCTTTCTGCGAGCATGGCCACTTTTGGAGCAAAACCTGTTATTTAATACCCCCTTGGGAAAGCAGCACCCCCCAGGTTCCTTTTGGCACCTGCTTTTTGCAGAAGGATTTTGCAATACATTTGGGTCCCACAGCTTGATTTCATCAAACTGTTCCTGAAAAGAGCATAAAGCCTCATCCCACCGAGTAAACCCACTTCTATGGGGGTGGAGGTTCCCAAAAAGGCAGTGAAATATCCTCCTGGCACCCTTTTAAGACCATTTTTACATCCGAAGATCAGGCTGAGTATTTATGCTCCAGCGATATTTATTCTTTAGCATCATTATTTATAATTCACCAGCCCTATTTACCATCTTTTGCAATCTTGAGTTACAAAGACAGCATTTTTTTTTCCTTTAATGCTCTGCATTATTATTATTATTTTTTAATAATAACTTACATTTCTATAGTAGTGTTCCTACAGATATCCCCAAAATACAACATAGGCTGTGAGCTGGGAGTCATCAGTGGTATAAAGCAAATCTTCTGCCCATCTGGTTTTCCCCCAGAGGTGCTTGAATCCCTTGGGGTTGCAGGGGCTGGTCATACCATGCGTCAAAAGTGGACCGACCGCAGGGATCGTCTACAAGGATTTCAGCATCGAGGTCCCAGCGGATGTTGCCATGGTTTTATGGTTAGTGATGGTGCTGGCTGTGGCCCTTCTCCAACTCACTCCTCCACAGATCCAGCGCGGTGCCTATGCCGTGGCCTTCGATGAGCGCTTCTCCATCCCACTGGACCCTGTGGCACTGGAGGAGGACAGCCTGCGCTTCTCTGTCTTCGGTATTGATGAGGACGAGAGGAACATCAGCACCGGTGTGGCGGAGCTCAAGCTCTCTGACCTGGACCTGACTGTGCGTCCCTTCAGTGCTTGGCTCTATCTGCAGGACACGAACAAGGTGAGGTGGGGTGATGCTCCTTGTGCTTTGGGGTTTTGGGGGTTTTCACCCATTCCCTCATCCCATCTGGTGGGTGACGGCACGCTCTGTCCTGCAGGCAGTCGACACAGTGGGGGAGATCCTGCTCTCCCTCAGCTACCTGCCCACAGCCGAGCGGCTGACGGTGGTGGTGGTCAAAGCCAAGAACCTCATCTGGAGCAATGGCAAGGGGACTGCAGGTGAGCGTGGGGCCATCTCAAGGCCCCAAAGCTTTGGGTTGGACATGGGTGCTTGTCCTGGTACATCCCAGAACTCTCTGTGAGTGCTTGTTGGAGTAAAACCAGTCTGGGGACAACCCTGCTGGATTGGGATTCGGTGGGTTGGGATGGCTTTCAGCATGGCTGACACCATGGTTGTTCTCTCCCCTTGGCCCTGAGCAGATCCCTTTGTCAAAGTCTACCTGCTGCAGGATGGGAGGAAGATCAGCAAGAAGAAGACGGTGGTGAAGAGGGACGACACCAACCCTGTGTTCAACGAGGCCATGATCTTCTCAGTGCCGGCCATTGTGCTCCAGGTCTGTCCTGCTACTCCTTGGGGACCACAAACCCCTGTGGATCCAGTAAGGACTTCCTGGGATGGAATGAGAGTCGTAGGAGCTGTGGTTGTGCATATATGATTCAGTGGGATGCGGTGGTATGGGAGATGGGCACATACAGAGTATGGCTGAGCATGTGGGGATAAGCATGTATGATTTTTGGGTATGGATGATGCAGGGGGATGGGTAAGTATTGGGATATGGTGTAATACATAGGGTATGGCTGCTGGGGGAGATGGGTATGTGTGACATGTGGGCGAATGCATGTGTGTGGGGTGTGCTTGTGTGTGTAGGTGCCTGCATATATGTGTTTAGGGGATGCGGGGGAAGTAAGGTGGTGAATAAGTATGGGATGGATGTATACATTAAGGCTATAGCTGTGTGTGAGGATGATGTGCATATATAGTTTTCTACTACATGGGGAGGACGTAGTGGTATGTGTATGAGCTGGGTGGGTACATAGGGGAAAGCATACTCATAAGGTATGGCTACTGGGCTGATAAGCACGGGTAGTACAGGCGGTATGAGTGCAAGAGGTACGGTGTGTAAGTGCTGACAGCCATCACTCCATGCACCCCTGCAGGACCTGTCCCTGCGGGTGACGGTGGCTGAGAGTGGCGAGGATGGCCGTGCTGACAACACGGGCCACGTCCTGATCGGCCCAGCAGCCAGTGGCATGGGCATCACCCACTGGAACCAGATGCTGGCCACACTGAGGAAGCCTGTGTCCATGTGGCACCCGCTGCGGAGGAATTAGGCTGCTGGCGGGGGCACCCTGCACACCTTGGGACCCTGTGCCCCAATGCCAGCTCTGCCCTGGCCACAGTGGCCAAGTGCCACTGTCTGGAGGTGAAAAGTCAGAGATGGCCAGAGCATCCTGCTACCAAAAGCCTCCACTGGGAGGAGGAGGATGGAGAAAATCCTGTCCGCACCTCTCCTCATCCGCATGCGCTGGGGGCTGCTGAGGGACCTGCTGAAGACGGACCAAAACCAGCAAAATCCTCCTCAAACTGCTGTCTGGGTGCCAGCCACAAGCTCCTCAGCATCCTGCATGCCCTCTGCTGGGCCCCCAAAACCAACGGTGACCCCAGATGTGGCCTCTGAGGGCTTCTGAGGGGACATGGGATTCTTTGGAAGGATTTTTGGCAAGCGAAAACAGAGAGGGGTGATAAAGTGTTGGCATGGTGCAGTTTCTCTCAGCATGTGTGGTCTTTCTGTTGGGTTTCAGAGGGGTTTCAGTGCACTGTACCAGGGCTGAAACTCTCCAAATTCCAATGAAAAAGGGAAAAATAATAGTAGAAAAAAAAGTTGTTGTTATATATCTCTTTTTTTCTTCCATCATTTTTCTAGCAGTGTCAGTTTCTGCTTTCCTACTGGCTGCCAAGGGGTGTCTGTCCCCAAATGTCATGGGTTTGAGGACAGGTCCAGGCTGAATCATCCCCTAAAGGCTAAATGTGGTCACCCCAAACCCTTTTCCCAGCTTAATTAACCCCGTGGATTCCCTAGCAGCAGGGCAGCTCTACAGAAATAGGAAACACCCCCCAAATTTTGTATTTTTAAGCTTCACAGGGAAAGGAGAGAAAAAGCTCTTTAGATGCTGTCTGCTCATGGGCTCCCAGCCTAAACAAGGTCTTCTGGGTAAGATCTGCTGCTCTGGGGAACCAGTTCCCCCTGTTTTCCGGAGGTGAACAGATGGAGAGATGCGTGGGGCAGAGGATGCCCTGGGGCCGTGTCCCTCAGCTTTTCCCAGCCTGCAGGTTGCCAGCAGGAAGCCAACAGGGAAACTGGGGCTCTTTGGGGGCTGTTTGCCAGAGTGGTGGCTGTTTGCCAGGGTGAACTGGGGAGGGGATTTTGTTCTGTGAATGGTTTGAGCTGAAAATAAACAAACGTGAGTGAGCCATTCAACCTGATTAAAGACATCATCATGGTGGTACCCTGAGCTGGCACCAATTTTCCTCTCTGCTCCTCTGTCTGGCTTTTATTTTGCAATTCCCCTACATAGGCTTCTTCCCCTTAGCTCATAGGTGCCAAGATTTCCTTCTCCCACATGCTGGCTCTTCCTCCTCCTTGCTCCTCCCTCCAGGAGCCCCCATGTCCCATCTGCCACTGTCCCTTGGCCCTGGGACCAGGGTAAAACCAAAGCTGTGCTCAGAACAGCTCTGCTTGGGATTGCCAGTGCAGTTTGCTGACGGATGAGGAGAAGGTTCTGTTGTGGGCTTATGCTGTTTTTTTGTGTGCGTATGGACATTAGTGCACTGGGATCACAGTGGTACCCAGGGCTTTTCACCGCCCACAGACATTTATTTTTTGCAGTAGCAGAGAGAAATGTCACAGTGACAGCTGATTGCTTTCAGTGTTTTAATATCCATCTTTATTGGCATGCTGCAGCCTCTCTGTGTACATCCTTTACTTTGTCAATAAGGATAACTGGGACAAATGAAAGTGCTCTCCTCCATCTGAGGTTCAGTGAGGCCCCAGTGCCTATATGTTCAGCAGCTATGGCACTGACTCCATGCTGTCTACCACCTAAAACAAGAGCTCCCATTTTCCACCACTGTTTAGCAGCATCTTTGCTTTATGCAGTCCGATCTGTTGGCTTCAAGTACCCAGAAAATCAGCTCCTTCACTTCTCCTTGCCTTTCTTCTTGCTCTTGCGCTGGTTGGTCAGGTCGCTGAGCTTCCTGTCCAGGCGGCGCTGGAGATGGGCTCTCTTGGCAGGGTCCAGGGATTTGTCCTTGGGGCTGCTCCCAGGGTACAGAACCCCTTCCCTGCTGATCCACTGCCGAGCGTGTGCCTTGGCCTTGTCCCCGCAGCCATGAACCTAGGGAGAGAGGGGACAGTGGTGGAACTGCGTGTGACATGGTGGGACGTGGGCTGTGAGCATGGTGGTGATGGGTTGATGGTGGGACTTAGAGGTCTTCTCCAACCTTAATGATTCTGTGAATCAGCTGCTTCTGCTGGAGCCCAGAGCTCCTCTTCCACCTGCTCTGCATTCCGAGTTAGTTGAATCACAGAACATCCTGAGTGGGAAGGGACCCATAAGGAAAGGATGAGGAAGTGGGGGGAAAAACACTTGCTCAACAGGGGTTCTGGCTCCCTTGAGGTGGCTCTAGGTAAGTGCTGACCCACACCAGATTCAGGTGTGGGTAAGAGATCCTTGGTTATTTGACACTAAGGCCTGATAATATGCAGAAAAAGGGCTGAACTTTGAAAAGTAAGAAAAACTCATTGATGTGGATTGTACTCCTCCAATTATTTCTCATTACAATTCAGCAGGGAGAGGTGATTCTGCAAGAAATAAATTTATATCCCAACCAGCTTGTGAATGACCATAAATACAACTATTCTTTGCCATGGAAACAGATAGTACTTGACAAGGGGAAAATCTATGCTGAGGATTTATAGGTCAGCTTGCTAAACATTGCTAAGCCCCGGGAGGCAAAGAGCTACGCTTGGGTGACACAGGATGAGGAGTGGTGGGAGCAGGAGGCCATGGATGAATGGAAGCTCATCACCTCTCAGCCATGTCCACTCTGACTGCAGGGCTGAGGCCTAAGGCTGGCTCACCATGAAGCTTCCAGCCCTGCAGATTGAACCTACTTGTCTGCTTCAGCACCAGAATGGAAATGCCAGACAATAGGAAGGGTGGGCAAAAAGCAAAGGGTGGAGGGGGAGAGAGAAAGCTCTCAGGAGAAGCCGTGCAGAACCGCCATGTGACAGCCTCTTCTACCTTTATAAAAACATCTGACAATGATGGTTTGGCTTTAAGCTCCCTGCAAGGAAACCTTGCCTGCAGAGCTCTCACTTAAAGCCCTTCTGCTGGACGCATCCTGCTCCTCTCCAGCCCGTGGGCAGCTTTCTGGCCCTGTGCATACCTCTGGGATGTGATGGCTGAGGCAGTACCGCCTGTTGCAGTGTGGGCAGAACTGGCCCAGGGTTGTGACACTGGCTTTGCAGCGGGGGAAGCCACAGGTGTTGTCAGCTTTAACGGCAGCAGAAATCAGAGTGTCTATATCTTCCTCTGATGCACTGTCTGCTGTGGTTTTAGCCGCTGTTTTTCCTAGGTAGAGGGCAGAAGAGATGCAGAGGTTTAGCAAACCCAAATAACTCTGAGACCCAGGCAGTGCAAAGTCCTGGAGCTAGTGTATACAGTGACAGAGACTTTGTGGCACTCGTGACACTGAACTCTGGCTCGTGCTCAAAGGCACAAGTGGGAACTGAGGGTCTCCCTTTGCTAGAAGATGGCTGGGGGAGAGGAAGGGACCACAACTGGCTGGGACAAGGATTCTCAGCTCTGATTCACCCCCACCTCCATGTTTAGGAGGGGCAAGTACCTCTCAGCTCTCTCCCCATGTTTGAGAGCTTCCAGTCAATCTCCTGCTCCTATAAAGTGAGGGACCTACCTTTGCAATCGCTTTTGTCTTTCTTCCTGCTGCTGCTGCCCCGAGTGCCAGCGCTGGACTCTTGCTCTTTCTTTGCCATCTCCTCCTGCCTGGCCTTCTCCCTCTGAAATCTCTCCAGGTGCAGCCTTTTCAGGTCCACTTTCCCTGAGCACTCACTTCTTCCTCCTGGCTCAGCAGGGGCTGGAGCTTCCCCACTAGAGTCCTGTGGCTGAGGAGGGGGCTGCTGCTCCCTGGGGGTTACAGCTGGGGCAACCACAGCCTGACCAAGCTCCTTCTTGCGAATGCTGATGTAGCGGTCTCTGCCCTCCCCGGTGCTGATGTGCTGCAGCCCATGCTCGTCGGCCAGGAGGTGGACCAGCATCCGGTCGTGTGGACTGAGAGATGAGGGGAAGTCCAACTGTGTCTCACCACTCTCCAGGAAGGCTTCCAGCACAGCTTTAAATTTGTTTGTGTCAGCTTTTGTCCCCGGGCTCTCCTTCCCAGGTCTACTTGTGCTAGAAGAGCAACGTGCTTCTTGTTTTTGAGGAGCTGCTTTAGCTGCTGTTGCTTTGGGCTTCCTCCCTGCAGCTTGCTGCGGTTTGGGGCTGGGTGCTGCAGGGGCCTTTGTGCTCTGCTGCCGCTCTCCTCTGTGGGAGTAGTTTTCAGGGACAAGGTCATCGAGGTACTCAAAGGCCGTGCGCACCTGGCCGTGCTGCCTGAAGTGCTCCAGCAGCCGTCCCAGGAAGGCCTGGCTGCCCACTGTGTGGCTGTCGCAGATGATGGCCACGTGGCGCCGGGCACGTGTCACCGCAACGTTGATCCGTCGGTCCTCAGCAAGAAAACCCACCTCGCCTGCAGGAAAACCAAGAGGGAGTGAGCAAACAGAGGCTAGAGAGTCTTCTTGGGGCTGGTGTGGTGCAGGGCTGGCTCCTGCTCTCATGACGACCAGTTGGGAGCCACAGTGGGGATCCTCAACCATCCCAGGTTCAAGGCATGTGGGCAGGAGAAATGCTCCCCAGGTGCTGCTAGGTGACCTAGGGCATGAGATCAGGCTGAGAAAGGCTCACCTGGAGGCAGAACTGCAGGTACAGTGCAGGAGGCACTCTATGCAATGCCCCCTGCCTGCCCCCAAGCCATGCACACAGGGCTGATTTTAACAGCAGCTCGGCAAGGTCTGCTCCTGCTCTCAGGCTATTTTCTCGAAGAGAAGCAGTAAGAGCTAGCGAATGCCAAGATGACTCAGTGAGGCTCAGCTACTGAGAGGGGTAGTAGGGGTAGCTTGAGAGATTCCAGACCCTGAGGATAAAGAGAAGGCCAGTGGGGAAGAAATTGCTTTCTTCTTTGCTGCAGTGACCAGTCTGGCTGTTTGCACCCAGTCTCTGATGCAGCAAAAGGGTTTCCTGCTGGGTCTGTAACGGCTGCAGAGGAACGGGCATCCCCTGAGCTGATCTACGTGGTTACAACAAACTCTCCTGGGTGTCAGGCTGCTACCAGCATCTCTCGTGGCCCACAGAGAACAGAGCTCTGCCTGGACAGCACATGGAGCCTGCTTGTCATGCATGCGAAGAGGGCTAGAGTCATTGCTAAGGACATGGGCTCCCACTGAGCCACCAGCAAGGTGAGGTGAGTCACTGTGAATAAGGACTATTCTTAGCCCTACACTCCACCTCCATCCTCCCCCCAGCGCTGCTTTTCCTGCTCCAGGCTTTCTTTAAAAAAGGCAGAAAACACCTCCCCCTTCAATGTGTCCTTTCCCCCTTTTTCTTTCTAGACATCAGCACTCCTGGCACATACAGTGTCTCATCCTCAGCAGCATTAGTGCAGGAAGGGACGTCTAGTTGAGGATGTGAAAAGGGGCAGAGGTGCTTCTCAGCACAATCCCACATGTGCCCTCTGCATGAGCTGCTGCCTCAAAACCCTTCAGCAGCTTTTTTCCAGCTATTAACTCCCACTGCAGTCACTGATAGCAAAGAACTCGATTTTCTGCTCTAGATTTTGCTTCCAAAAGGAGCATTTTCTGTGCACGACTTGTGATGCCAGCTTTCTTCACTCTTCACTCTTTCTTCACTTTCTTCACTCTTCAAGCCCCATCTAATTTCTGCCTTTTTCTCAGCGCTCCATTAACCACAGTGCCAACCTGACATGTACCATACACAGGATTCCAGTTCAATAATTTTTGAGGTTGCAGGACTGTACCTAGCATGGGAACCTTCCTCTGCAATCCTGAAAGCAGATGTCGATTTAAAAATAATGAGAAGAAATAAAGCTGAAAAGAATCTTGCCACTAAACTCATTCAGAGTGAAGTGCTAGAGACAGTCAGAATTATACTTGGCAATGTATTGAGTGACCCATTCCTTCCCCATTCCCATTCTTCCCCTTCTCTAGCAGCATGTTCTCACCTTTCCTGTTGGATCTCACGAATGACAAGATCACTGCCTCTTTCTCTCTGCCTTGGAAACCATCAACTGATTTAATCTCTAGCTCAGGGTACTTGTGGCAAAGGTGCTCTCTTAACATATCCACCTGATAAAACATGAGAGAGGTGACTTAGAGAGAGAAGTGCAAAGGGAAAAGCATTAAAATGGCATTATTTGGAACAGCCCCTTCCTCTCAAAGGCAAAAGGATGAGTGCTTGCGTCTCCCAAGTGCTGACTCCTGATGCTGGGAGTGGAAAATACCTCTCAGAAAACACCACCTCCCTCAAACGCCTCAACTTTGAGAAGGTGGCCACAATGACTGATCATATAATTTGCCTCTGCTGCCTTCTGCATTCCTCTCTCTGAGAGTACTTTGGTATCGCTCCTGGAAGTG